TACTCGTATTGCGCGCTTTGTACTCGGATTGTTTCATGCATGAATGCGTCGTCTCGGTTCCTCTATAGGTCAAAAGAAAATGGATATCTCGGAGACTAGCTTGAAATTTTTATGAATGAATATAAAGTCATGGATGATTTAGCAATTATGATCGTGAGTGGAGATGTGTTGTCACATACGGGGGATGGTTTGTCAGCAGGGCCTCAGTCTCAGGTAAAATTGTCAGGTTGACAAGTGGCAAAGTCGGTAGTGCAGGCTAAGGGTGCACACTTAACAGGGCTGTTTTGTTTTGTTTTGTTGAGCTGCATTCATGCACAATAATAACGAACATCATGTACATGTAGGTAGATAGGCTATGCACGACATGTCTGGTCATGATCCGATGCAACTCTTCTATTTATGCTCAGCGCAATCTTGACTCTTTGAAGCATGGAGGAATTTTTTGCGCGTTATGAAAAACTCTATAAAATAATTCATAGCTTAATTGCCAGGGTCAGTTGGTAGGTCCGAGTCACAGGCTACAACTGTTAAATTTAGCATCTCCTCGACGCAGAGTACATCTCGCAACATGCAGGAAAGCAAACTCCTTCGTGCTTTGAATAAAGTCCACTCAATGGGAAATCTGCTCCACAAAGAGAACAGTTGTAGATTTGTGCAAATGTAAAGATTGCACTGAACATATTTGCATGGATTCAAGGCTTTATTAATCAAGTGCGGAGGTAAACTTAAATCAAGTCAGTAATTGGCTGGGTGTAGTCCAACCTCCTCGTGTAATACGTAAGCTTGGTCAAGTAGAGCAAGTTCAGTCTATGTTTCTTAGCAGTCATCGGTAGAGTCAGTGGGACCAGTCTCAACATAAGGCCATCTGCAATAAATATAAAACCAACACCTTAACAGCTTTGAAGAAATCATGCTCCACTTTGTCTCCTTGCCAACCTCGATCTCCACAATTCTAAATTACCACAAATCGTATATCATTATCCTTATTTTCATAAATGTAAACTTTTGATCTTTTTGAAAATCATCAGCCTCGATCTCTAGGATCAGCTTAATAGTCTTACTACTACAATTACGACAAAACTTTATCATCGGCAGGCTTTTACAACACTTAAGGTAATTTGCTGCACAACTGTCTTGGGAGTTGAACTGTTGCCATGAAGTCGTTAATAGGCCATAGTTTGCCTAATTCTCACGGAAACAGATTTTTCCGTCCTTTTCCAAAGTGGTCAAAAACAGATCCACAACAAAGCTAAATCTGCTGGCTCAGATTTCTGATGCTAGGGAGTCAAAACCGGTGTTTCATCACACAGTCACTCTCCCAACCTCTGTCTTTCTCCAGCAAGTCCAAAATGACTTCTGACTCTCTATCTCTCTCTCACATAAGAAAAATCCAACATGCACCAGAAGATTCTAATTGTGTCCGATTGTACAATGCCACCTATTTTTCATCAACTGGCGTAATTTGATTCAAAATAATACGATGGGTGCTTTAACAATTACAAAGGCCTGAAGAAAATACCGTTGCGTAAGACGGGAAGGCGTTTTCCCACTTCGCCAACGCCTTCTCTGAATGGCAGAATTACGTCTACGCGGGAATGACAGACAAATGACTGGCTAAAACTTTTCAATTTTGGACGATTCCATTACCTTCGGGGTAGATTGATATATACTCAGAATAAAAACAATCAACGGAACACAGTAAAAACATGATCAAAAAAACACAACATTCAACTCATGCACTGGTTTAACTGTAACAGCGGGCACAGGAGTTCTGGGCCGACGTGCACCGTAACCCGGTAGTGAACAGCCCCTGAGGAAGGGCAAAATCGGTGTGGCATGCTGGATGGATCGCCGGCAACAGTGAATGGGCTTCGCACAAATTGTAAAATGACACAGCGTATGGACGACAAACATGATGGACTTACGGCTTGATTTCAAGTCTAGTGTCGAGGCGGAACTCGATTTAGGTTGGATGATGATACTAACTGTTCGGTTCATGAGACTTGCGTACGAGGTTTTTTCCTCCTCCTTTTTTCTCTAAAAAAAGATACACGCACACGTGCTTGTAGGAACATATCGCCGCTGAAATGACACTGAAATAGACCGGCCTCCTCATTATAATAGCGTTTCCAGCTTTTAGATGTACACGGGACATAAGACCATCTCGTTTGTCTGGTTCCCAGATGTAAATGCACAATACGAAAATGACCTTATCTTAAAAAGAGTGCCCGACTCATTGTATGTGGGCCTAAAAGGGACTCCTTTACTGTACATATTACTCAACCGTATCCCATCTAAAACACGTTAATTTGATTACGCAGAAGCAGGATTCTAGGCGATCAAGGAAGTTTGACAGCTTTTGAACATCGTATTATACCAAATAATTTTTTTATTAAAGCCTTAGTTATCTGTATTTTTAATACAAATATCTCTATGCCGGAGTACAGTCAAAGTTGCACGCCATACTCGTTTGTTTTTTTCAACAGACCACGTCAATGTCCGTGTGTACGTCGTCCATGGTGGTGCTTTCAGCACGTATGAAGCCATGTGGGAAGGTGTGCCTATGGTGGGTATACCGCTTTGGGAGGACCAGATGGATAACATGGTCCGCGTAGAGGCACAAGGCGCTGGTCTCAAGTTGGACATCAGTGGTCTCAAATCGGAGACTTTGAGCCGGGCCATTTGCAGAGTCATGACCGAGCCTGGGTAAGATTACAGCTAGGACTCTACCTTCCCAGGTGATAAACCGGCCGGGAAGTTCACAAAAACACTTTGGTATGCACGGTTCGTGAATAGTCACCGGGATGATTCGCTGCTCTGCCCTTTCGTCACTAGGAGAAGTGTAAAGCTATCCCTAATTCTTTCAGTTTAATGAGCTTCACAATTAACGAGCATTGTTTCCTGATTTACACGACGATGTAATGAAGCTGTGCACATTCGGCTGAAATTAATTGATTGCAAGAACCAGTGCCATGTAACGCAGTTCACTTAACTCCAAAAAGATTTCAGTTTCCGCATATTAAAGAAAAGTTCATAGCAAAACAAGATTCTAAGAAAATTCATCACAATGATATCTCCGTTAATTTTTGGTGACGACATAAAACCCGTCCATTCTGACTTCCGGCAGCTATGAGAGGGCAGGGGTCTAATAGGTACCAAAATGGCGCTTTTGTTATGTGTTGACAGTAACTCTCCATTTACAGTTTCGTCAACGCACTAAGTGGATATTTTGTACGATGAAAATGATGCAGCATATTGATTTATTTTCAGATTCCGCGAAAATGCACAGCGTGTCTCTAAGATCCTGCGCGACCTTCAGAATGCTGACAGACCGGCAGACAACGTGGCTCGCTGGATCCTTCACGTCACACGGTTTGGCGGCGACCATTTACGACCAGCAGTCATGGATCTCAATTACGTTCAGAGGAATCTCCTAGATGTTTACCTTTTCATTGGTCTAGGTCTGGCCTCAGTTATCATGATCAACGCGTCTGTTTGCTATTTTTGTTGTCGGAGCCTGTGTCGTATTGGCAGAGGCGACCATTTTAAGAAGGAGTGAGATATAAGATTAATTCATCAAGTTCTAAGATCTGATAGAATTTGATAATTAGCTCTGAAAGGTTTATCCCAGAGGCAATGATATTCCATAAATCATCCCTAAACGCAGAGGGTTGTCATCAAACAGACTTTCAGGAATTCTTTTTGAATAATAACATCAAATGTAAATTAAAGTAAGTGCAATTTTGGAACTGGAATTTTCTGGATTTTTTTCTGATTATTCTCGTGTGAGTTTGCCGCTCCAAAACTCGCAAAAATAACTATCTTGCTCCACGAATATTTTTGGAATGCATTAACTACCCCAAGATTGAATACTATAAATTATTCTGCATTGTATTGCAACATCAAACAAATAAGCAGCAACCGTTTGTAATGTTACCAAACATCTAATATCAATTATTTTAGATTTTTTTACATTTTAATTAAACACAACAGCTTGAATTGTGTTATTTGAAACTTATGTAAATTTCATTTTGAAATGAAATCACTGATCAAAGATGCAGGAGCATGAGTCAATATTTAGACTTAGAGTTAATAGTAATAGTGAGTGGTAGAGCTGATACAGCGTGTGAAGGTACTGAACTTGAAAGATACACCGTGTTGCGTTCATATTCATTTTACCATCAATAATCAGAGAAGTAAGTGATTACGATAAAATTCTAAAACGCACGCAAAATGGCAAAGAGTGTGAGTCTAATTTACGTTTGGGCTCCGTGCACACGGACATGACTCCAAAAGGCTAGTCTGATCACCTGGTTGTCGCTCCAAAATTCTTTGGAGTTCGATCAACAAGTTAGAGACGGTGAGCAGTCTACGTGCGTCCCGTAATACATGTGTCTCGAAAAATACTTACCTTAAAAACCCTTCAAATACAAATAATTAGAAACAAGTGGAATTTATTTGTTAGAATTGTCACAGACAGAAGGCGCTAGTCACTGGACTCGGGGCAAAGTTATAGATGGCGCTCTGCCCAGCAACAAGGGGCAGGCGTTATGCACATAATAAGCTGCGTGTTAAGCAAGCGCGGCGCATAGGCTCCGCCATGTGCATAAGCCCCGTAGACTTGCTCAAGTCCCTGATCCGGCACTGGATGCTCACAGTTAATTGTGGTTTTCGCTGCTCTGGGCGAAATTCAGTCACGTGTAATCACACAGTCTCCCCGTCAATATTGGAGGAGTGTTGATGAATAAACCAGCCACGTTGATTGTTGTGTATAAGTTAGGCGTCTAGGCGAAGTTTATTTCGAATCATTGCTGTCCGGGTAAGTCACTGAGCTTTGGCCAACCAGATCATCGCACTTTCTTGGGGGACGGTATACTTCGATCCCAACGGACTCGTCCCTAGCCGCTCAGGGACTTTCCGGTACGTACCTTCTGACCGTCACTCCTCAAAGAGAAGGGCGCCTTCACCCAAGGGCCTGACGTCACAGTTATGGCTACAAGTTTTTATGCACTATGTCACCTTTGTAAGGCTATCAAGTTTTAGGATTAATTTTATTCTGTTTTCATGCACACACTGGTTTTCCAGGGAAACACTGACTATTTTTAATACATTCATCATGCTGGTAAGAAGTCACTTTCAGGTTTAATTTCATACAGGATGTTAGAGTAACGCATTTTCTAGAACCCAGAATGTACGATATTGTAACGTGGGAGGGGGTCCGTATAGTCAGAGAATGATGAGAGCCTGGCGTACATACCTACCGTATACTCCCGACTGTCTTGCCTGCTGTCTCTAGTATCAGTCACAGTCAGCCGATGGGAGAAGGGCGGGGACGAGCGAGGGAGAGGGGGAGAAATTCAAAGTGCAAAACAACTTTCCTAATTATGCGGGGTCAAAGGGTCGGGGGGAGGGGTTGAGCTGAGGCAGTCCAGGGTCACCAGGAAGGTTTCACCACAAAAGAAAGAAGACACAGCCAATTTAATAAAAATGCGCAAGTGCACGCATGAATGAATGACGGACCATGAAGAGAAGTGTCTGAGGAAACAGCTTCTCAAAATTATCTCATTTATTTCGGAAATCACTTGGGTGTCTCTAACACATATACGTCAAAGGAATTACACGGCACTTCTTTGCCGACTTAAATCTTTCACGGCGCTTGTAAGCTCAATTAATCTTCACGGCACTTCTTCGCCGACTTCATGCGCAGCGCTGCTCAGCCTTGCACACAGGCACTTGCGAGCCGTTCCTTCTGCACGCGGGACTTGTTCGTGAGAACCGAGCCAACCGAATGCACACGCGTTCTATCGATTTCTGGCAGTGTAGAACGAAGCCACATACATCGCGCACTACACAATTAGCCTTATATATGTACGTGGCTTATATGCAGATGTGTCACTCGCACTGATCAGGTGTTGCCATTTACCCACGTACAGTACAGTATCGCACAAACCATTAACACACTTGAGCATAATGCAATGCCTGCATACGCACACTTTTGCCGTGAACCAGTTGGTTATGTAAACCATTGTTAGCAGGATCTGTAAAGAAAAAAATCCTCTTAATGAAATTAGTCATCACTGAAAGATAAATACATGCTTTCAAGACTTACTACAATTTGGGATGTGTCTTAGTGTCCCTAAAAAGTCGGTAAGAGCTACCACGGCTAAAAAAGAACTGTCAAGAATGTGTTCCTACTGAAGAGCAATTTCTACAGTATGAGTCATTTGACTAATTTCTGGAATTACTTCGAAGGCAGAGTGATTTTTGTCACACTATGAAATATGTATTAGACCAGTCTTCAACATTCAAGACTGGTCACTTTGGTCAGGAGATTGAACTCTGACGTCCCTAGCCGCAATCGATGCGGCAAGCGACGTACTTCATACTTACTCCACTTTATTTCCACACCAGGGTGGAGGAGAGTCCTTAAAAAGCAGTGCTTGTCGAGTAGGGACCCCCACCTACGTAACAACACATAACATTGTTGACCGCTGTGGTGTGGGATATGACGTTGTGAACATCTGGGGGACGCATAGCGCCCCGAGGCGAAGCCGATTGTTTTGTCATACCTCTGGAATTTATCCAAAGAAACAAGCTGAACAATTTCAGAAGATAACGGGCCTACTGCGTGAAACTGTACAGTTAACGTAGGTAAACGATATTCTTTGCAAATGCGCTGTCCCCTCCCTTTCGTTTATCCGTAAACGATTATGGTTGCGCTACACCAAATACCCGCCCATAGAAAACAGTGCAAAATCGGACGGAAATAGCGCCACCTATTGACCCTCGTGAAGAGGTTGGCCTCTGTGTTTTACCGGAAATTCAAGACTATGGCCAGAAGATTACTTTTTGTTTCAATTTCATGGGGGTTAGCCACGAAAGCCTTTTTTATACGCCTTCAATTAAGATACCCCCAAACAGCAGTAAACTAAGTGCTCATTTCTGAATGTCACCGCCCGCCTCTATTCAAAATAGGCCCACCATTTGGGGCTTTTTGTGAAAGAAATACCCCGAACTGGAAACTATCAGTCCCAAATTCGGGATTTATAGAAATATTTCTACGATTTCTCCTGATCATGGCATGTCTTATCGTAAAAATCCTTGGGATCACACAATATTAATGAGCTCGCGTGAAGAAATACAACCATTTGGTGGAAGCACCGTAATGTGAAACTAGTGTGGGTACCAGTGAGTACATTTATATTGTCTGTTTAGTGGTCCCTGCATTACCTTATACACTGCGGGGACGGGAACGTCTGTTATACGAGCGCAATCGTTGATCGAATTCCCTGGTAGCCTATGAACAAAACGTATACCACGCAAAACTGACTAAAGAATTATGGAAGGGCTGCGTGGCACCGTTATCAGAATATCTACAAGAATATAACATCAAGCGTGAGAAAACCTTACTTGATAAATCAGGTAGCCAGCCAAAACTCCATGTGATGTATATTGTTTTGGGATTGTATTTAGCTGTTTTTTGGTCAGCAAAATCAGATAGAGTTTGAGCTGGTGACCTTTTTTAATAAGCAAAAATTTTTCCCACTTAATCAAATTTTGTGCTTAAGTAGCTCTATGACATGCTGGTAAATGCCAGGCTTATCAAGAAGGTTGAGAGGTTCATATTTTGACCTTCAGCACAGTCATTTCAATTGGATTACAAATGGGCCAACGAAGTTTATGTTCAGAATAGGGCAAGGCGCTGTTCACGGAAAATTATCGTAAGGGTACACACCAGAGCACCCCCGCCTCTTCATTGTTGGCAAGCGTACATGTATGTCGTGGGATATCTATTGATTAATCCAACTTATAATTTATATATGCCCTAACAATGTTTCTGTGTAAAAAAAAAAGCAAAGTGGCTGAAGACGCACCAAATGAGTAATTCAGATGTTGCAGGGCAAAGGGCATTTTGGACATAACATCCTCCTGTCACCCACACTGGCCTTGGTTTCACTCGATGGGAGTAGCTGAAGATCGTCCCTCTTGAACCTCGTCATGCGACCAGGCAGGAGAACGGCATGGGTCTCTGCATATTTGGCGATGAAATTCTTGATACGCATCCGGTCGCATCCGGCCGTAAGGGCCCATGCTTCTGGCATGGGCCCTCAGGAGGCATCCCCTTTCCCTGTAGTGTTTCTGCAGTGCTGATAACTTCTTAAGACTCATGCAGGAAAGTGAATGTTTAAAAATAAAAGAGAAAAAAGGGGGAAATTTGCCACGTTCCCTTCCAGAGAATTGATGTTAAGAAACAAGCAACTAATTCAGCTGCCTAGATCTGAAGCCGTATTTTCCATATTTCAATAAAGTGGGGATGATTCAGGGCTTGTTTCTTGAAGTACGTTAATAATCGATCGATGATATTAAATCAAGAGCCAAGAAAAGGAAGTATGATAATTACAACATTAAAGCAATGCCTACACTGTATTTATATTCTACTACTGTCAAACAAAATCAGATTCTTACTCGTGTAGAAATAAGAATGTCTTCTTGCAGACTGGTTAGCCATGGTGCAAAAAAGATAACCTTTGGCATTTCATCTCTTCGGCTCTTTCTTCCGTGATGAAACTGTTTGCTCGTTCATTGTGTTGAAGCAACGAATCTGCGCCAGGAGAAACATGTTTTTCTCCCCTAGGAATAAAAACAAATGCACAGAAATTATAACATATTTTCAACGACAGTTTTGGTAAGCCTTCAGAAACCTTGACAACATGCTTGCAGGTATTCTTGCAAGATTATAAGGATGTAGGCCTGTAGCTTAAAATGATGGTCAATCTAGTGTTATAAAGAGGTTTAAAGAGCAAAACGATTCGATTCCAACAGCAATTACCAATAACTCACCCTAGTATTTTGGCAATAAAAAATGGCATGGCATTACAATTATTATCGGGAAAGGTGGCTGGGCACTACCCCCAGGAACGATCATAATAAAGTTTTAGTCGTCGGCTTGACCAGTTGAAGGAGGGTTCAATCATACATCTTATGACACTCTATTTCTGTGTTTGATTGCAATTTACAAACACTTCAAATGCTTTATTACGGCTCTGGATAGATTAAAAAAATTGCTCACCTCTCGTCAATTCCATCATTTTGCACAGAGAACTGACGAAGCCATCAATTGTGTAGCGCGACGAACAGGAACCGCCGTACAAATGTTAGCAGTTAAAATGCCTGGCCTTCACCCATTGACTTTCCAGCTCACGAGCATCATCATTTATGCCCTCCTCGTCATGCTCGTCGGCTTGGGTAGCGTTCTCGACTTCTACCAGAGGTCTAGCGCGATCTTCTGGAAAAAGTTGCTCGTCTCCTTCGGCTTAAGTCATGGCAGGGTCGGTGTCCACAGATGACTCTGTCTCTTGATCAGAATCTGAAGATTCACTGTCAGAGTCACTGGACATGTTGGAGCGGTACCGGAATTGACGAAGTACTCCTCCACTAATACTATCGCATCATCTTGCGACTCATTCAGCGCCTTCGCGAGACATTGGTCCTTTGAAGACATTCTCAGAAGAATCTAACAAATTTAAGAAACCACCGTGCCGAGAAAATGGAAAATTTGGGGATATTGTTGCAATGAAAAAAGTAAACAACAATCAGCCTCAGTCAACGGAGCGCATTGCATTGTGACGTGGCATGAAAGAACATGGCGTTCGTTATACTGCGCTTGCGCAGAAACTGCTGTATATCGGTAAGGCCAATTAGAGCGCCCGATTCCGGTCACAATGAGTTAAAAATTGTCACGGCTTATCAACAGCGGGCAAGTTGTTTACGACTTATTTTAACCAACCTCTAGTTTATATGCGACCCACGACCTTTCATATGCTCACATTAGGAAAGACGAGACCTGGCCCTTTTGGTTGATACCAAATTCTCACGGAGGGGTGTTTTATACTTAACTGCGACACGGTGAAAAAAGAGGGAAAATCCGGAGAGATGACGACTGAAAGAACAAAGACGACAGCAACACAAGGACAAACACCAATCCAAATTATTGTGTTTTTTTATCATCTTTGTTCATCAATTTACATGTTTTAGACATCAAACCTGGAAATACAGTTAATATGGAAGGTAATGAAGTCCCCCCCCCATTCATTTTTTCGTAAACATTTTCACCGTCAGCACATGAAATGGCCCATTACACGTTTCTCAATTGCGCGACTTAATTTTTTTAATAAACCTTTTTGCAGAGCGGGTCACATTATATACCATGTCAATGTGCATCAAGAATGTGATGTAGTGGCCTGTGGTTACGTCAGCGCCCCGATGGGGTGAGAGCTAATTAATCATGCATGCCTTGCGCGGACAGAGCCTCAACATCCACTGCAACAAATAGTCTCTCGGATTCCATATTTTATTACTTCTTTATTAATCCTTGGTTTTAAATTACATGTACTAATTTATAAACACTATTTCATTGATAATCCTGATTCCAGTGCATGCAGTGGTTGAGAGTAATTAGGGGCGTTCTTTTAAGAATGGCGGAGCAATATATCATTTACTCACGGCTTTGTGGCTGTGGGCGCGCGTTGGCTGTTCTCGAACTGTCTAGAGTGCGGTCTTTTATCGCAACTGCGAGCTGAGTAACGCCCAGGTAAGAAAGTTGCCCCCCCAATTCCTTGCTTTCAATACCCTTTTTAGGTTACGTGCCCTCACTACATTGGTATCATCGTGACCAGTGATCGCCAAAGAGAATATTAGTTAGTGTTATACTCGAGGCATATGCTATTTTAAGTCATTTTGGGGAGTGTTTTCTTAATCCTATTCGTGGGATTCCTTCACAATAAATTTCTATGCCTCACACGTTACGTATAAACAAGACATGTCACGTTGCATATACTGTGCATGGTAGACCTCGTATGTAAAGTCGCGCTGTTTATTACAGTACAGCGCATACATGGGACTGGGCTTTGCATCAGTGGGGCATGACAACATTTTCCTTGGTTAAACCTTTATGTCAAGAGTGGGCTTTCTATAATTATACAATGTACGTTCCCATACAACTGCATGTACATAATGCTGATGGATATTGTTATTGGTGTAGTTTATGTATCTGTACTTGAATGTGTACTGTACAGTGTTTTGACAGCAGCTCGAGACTTGGAGGGGGGCTTAATTGCCTATATGCTCAGGCCAACACCAGCAACCTTAGCTCGAACTCATCGCTGTCTGAGCTACCACACTGGGGTAATTTATCAAAGTGCACGTTACATTTCAATTACATGTTTTGCAGACCGGCTACTTTTGTAACTTTGAAAATAATAGCTATTGTATGTCAAAATTGTATTTTGTATGCAGCATTTCTTTAATTTAAATAATTACATAATTGTTTTACGTACAGAATTTATTTTGAGGTGCAAACTCAAGTGCTCAAATGAGACTGATGAGTCATTTAGAATAAATACTTGATATCCGGTGTCCGACTCATCCTTGGGGGAGTATTCTTGGTGCCTCATCATCCAATACTGGAGGATGGACCTACCACCCCACCACCAGGGGCGGCCTAGAAATCCATGTCCAGTCACAGAATGTTTTGCAGCGATCAAGACTTCTGAATCCGAGGTAGGTGTATATTGTATGTAATTGTATTTGAACTGTTAAAAAACAAATGGATTAGAGAATCCTCTTACCAACGGATAAATAAACATTTGGAATGACCCTATAATCTTCAAGATTTTTTTTTTTGCGTTGGGGAGATGTTAATTTATATAACGGGTTTTGCCATTACCAGACGTATATTAATAAACATTGTATGCTCAGTGCTTGACCGAGAGCTTGCGAGAAAACCTCACAAGCTTACTTGGGTGGAACTCGAACCCACGACCTCCTGCTTAAGACATCTCCACTAGTAAGCAGAAGGTCATGGGTTCGAGTCCCACCCGAGTAAGCTTGTGGGGATTTTTTCCTCCAGCTCTCGGACAAGCACCGAGTATATAGTGCTTTTTAATATACGTTGGTATAAGGGGCAAAACCCGTTATATAAATGAAGCTATAATCAATGAATACGGTAATTTGCCGTGTCTAATGTCTACATCAAATTAATTAGTATGACGTGAGTTTATCTGGGACCAGTGCAGAGAGCCTAACAAGCCAGCGCCTGAGCCCAGGATTTGCAGGATAATCCAGAGCACCGATATTGGGGACAAGCCCATAAGACCACCACACGGCGAAGGCGACCTGGAACATACCATTGTGGGGAGAGTCACTAAGATTACTGAGGCCACGTCCAGAGTGCTGTATTAGAAGGACCAGAAAATCATGAAAGATTGTTGCTGGATTTAGAAGTACTTAAGGAAACGTAGGAAGACTGCTTATTTGTTACCTCATGGAGGAATGACACAGAAGGAGTTGTAACTCATGCACTTCAAAGCGTCCAATGATGGTCGCCGCCGAGTCTGACGAATAATAGAAAACATTCCAAAAATGCCTTATTGCTGCCTGCATCTTAGCCGGACAAGCGGGACCAGTAATATCCTGGCAATACTTGTAGTTTTTTGCTTGCAATTAAATACAAACTGTCGATGTGACCAGGAAATAGAGAGAGAAAAATTCCTGATATTAGACCTTCTTTTGCCATCATAAATAAACTTTTCAAATTTTGACACACTGTTTCATTATCCATGCAAAGTTTGTAATTCTAGTCTCCTCCGTCCAATATACATCAGTGTCAAAGACTTGGAACGAATTTCGCTAAGACTGGCCAACAAAATGTTCACTACTTCTGGAAAGCTTAGTTCATTAGCAACAAAATGCGCTATTTCATCACAAGGAGTGATCGTGAAATCTCATAAAATACACCTTTGTACAAATGCCATAATAAAAATGATTCAAACAAAACACCAAATCTTACAAACAGCTTGGCTATTTATTCCTAAACCAAGTCCAGAAGAAAGCGTTCGATAAGGGCAACATCTGCACGTAAACACTTCGGGTATACAGCCTAATAAAAGCAACTGCGCAAACACTACATTTGATGATGTTGTCGGTTCATATCAAGCACCAACGATGGTATGAATATTCAACTTCCTATACTGCAGTACACAACGTTTTAGGGATGCAGATTACCAACGAAAAATTGCGGCGACGATCATGGGGTACAAAGGGAGCTTATGGTTGCAAAACAGGTGGTCGGTAGCAGGCGAGCGCTGCGCTCTGGCTATGGACATACCGGGCATGCCAGAAAGTGGTAATCGGCCAGATGTTGTAGTCTGGACAGTTCAAACTCTTTCTGTGTCCTTGCTCCATGGTTACCTTATCACGCCTTCCCAGGTGATTTGAAGGCATTCAGTTAATTATATAGTTCTAAAGTGTTCCTGTAGAAGTTTAAAGAGTTTTGAGTTTATATTCAAAGCATTGCATAAGCTTAAGTTCGAAGTGTTTAGGATTGTTTAACGTGTTTTAGCAACCTGTTGAGGACCAAAACGATGCGCCTTGTAGGCGTGCACAAACTGTATTGCATATTCGATTTTGTTTAAACGGTCATGGGACTGACAAACTTAAGGCGCGGCTGTGTGGCACAATAGCAGTCTGCGTGTTAATTCGGAGCCGTCGTAGTTAGTTCCATGGCTTATACCCTGACGCCGGCCGGGGCCCGCCGCCGTGCGCTTTGGCCGGGCGCCAGGCTGGCGGCCCACGAAATACATAAGTGCGATCGCACCAAGCGGGTCAGTTCCTTTGCAGTCAGTCCCATGTGCCATAGCAGTTCCAGCGCCGTCCCGGTTAGTTCATTGCCGTGCAATTCTCTTTACTGCTCCCACCGGGGAGAACTACTTGTCTGTACCCGTAAGAAAGCAACTCAACAGGGGACCTTTAGACTTTATATAAATCATCTGGGGACGAGTTCATACGGGGAAACCCCATCCACAGGGCGATAGTCTTACGGGGAATTTGGTAAATCTAAAACAAGTTGTGCCCGTAGCTTACACCTGTGTGGAGATTGCCGAGGCTTGTGGAGGTCGCATCTTTAGTAGTGCCTGGAGAAGTGTGAGCAATCATTAAACCAACAAGCAGACGTGTCCGTTTGTGTCTGTTGTGCACCCAGTGTCCCACCCTGTCTCTTACCCCAGTGTGCGTCTGTGCTTACTTTTAGGAATAAAGGATATGAAAATAATTGTGATCAAACCTAGATATTTGAACCCCCAAAGTTGACGTGTAAATAAAATTCTGTATAATTAAGACAGTTACATTTGGACTCCTCCTTTGCCTTGGCGTCATTAAACTAATAATTTAAGCGGACCTCCTTAATAGATGGCCTGTCATTACAGAAAGTGGCGTCGTAGACAGGATGCCTTGGACAATTTAAGATGGGTTGCTCTCAAAAAATCTGATTTTTGTTATTCCCCGAATGCCTGCCTTATGGTGTTGCTGATTTGAGCGCAAGGTGGCAAGGCCTGTTTGCTGTCTTTTTGAAGCATCGGCCAAATTCTGGTGTGCTGATGGTGAGACATTCTTGCTTTTTGAAATCACTCGAGGAGGACCGAATGTGTTTTCTCCCTGACTTGTGGACTTGTATGATACATCATGGTAGTCTTTCCATGATGTGTTGATAAATTTGTATGTCAGTGCTGCACTGGTACTTTTTTAAGTGTCTGCAAATTTATGCACTGTCGTGTAGTTGAAGTAAACCCAAGTGGTATTTATCATTGCAGATCTCTGTTTTTGTGTACAGTACTCGTGCATCTGATACATAGTTTTGTAACGAGGGTAACTGGGCTGGGCTTGTCTGTCTCATAGTTTTATGTGGATTCATCACTTTTTTCTGCTGTATTTGTATTGAAGAGGGAAAAAGTTTTTATATTAAGGTTTTTCTTTGTCAAACAGCATTTTATGCCAACACTGTTGGCATTTTGTGTGTGTTTAATCCACGTACATTTACATGCTTCCAACCAGTATTAAAAGGGTTTGTGTCTTTATATTCCCTGATTCGTTCCAGTGGAGCTTTTATTGACTGACAGGTCTAATGCTCTAGTAAAATCCCTTTTTTACATACGAGACAGTCTGTTGGGCGATTTTTCTATGTGGTCTTCATGTGTGAGAAACCCTTTAACATTGGTCATTTTTTTTACCTTTCTGAAGATACAAAGTGTCACTGTTTTATTCCCCACTGTTTAGTGGTGGGGGTTCGCTGCAGCTGAATAGTAGTGGCGCTTTGTTGAGTAATATCACCATGTTACAATAACACATGTTGTTTTGCTTCTTAAGTTCAATGCACGGATTGACCTTCAACCGCTTTCCAAGTAATGAGCCTCACTTAAGGAATGACTAGTTGAACCACAAGGCCCTTGGGGAGGAAAGCAGGGCTGGACCGGATGGGTCATGAGGCAGCCCACCGGCCTTACAAGGAAAAGTCAGTGTTCATTAATTGGACTAACCCTACCCTCAAATCCAAATGAACCAAACATCTTCATGCACGCTGTATTAATATTCAAAGACTAGTAGCTAATACCTAACAAGGCAAAGAAACTTGTATGATGGATGAAAAATGGAATAGCCAGCAAATGTATAAAATCCCCATGAGCTCTGGCAATTGGGCAGAGAGCCGCACATCGAGCCAGCCGAATAAACCACATCAACTACAGTACAACTTTGTCCAAAGTCATCCTCTTGTGTCGATCCATATAACCTGATGGGTTATAGTAATCTTCTACATTATTACTGAGCGTTGTTGCGTAAATTGGTTACTAGATTACTGTGTGCATGTAACATTATCTAATGTTGCCTGTTGTCTGTACATGAGAAAGTATGGCATCCAAAGAATCCCTCATAAATATTATTGTGCAGTCGCGGAAGACTCTAGTTGATGTGCTCGAAACCATGATTTGTGAAAATGTGCAAGTGAGCCTACCAATATTTTGTGGCCAACCCAAAAATGTAGGGGACCTTTCCTTGGCAGATTGGTTGGACGAGTTTGAATCGTATTATTGCCGAGGATTTCATCTTGAGGGTATTGCAAAAGTCTCAGCAGTTCTTCACCATTTAGGAGGCGTTGCCATAGAAGAAGCATTTCGTAGTACTCCAGAATATCGTAGAGATTTGTCTAAGATCATCGGAATTTTGTGCAAGGCCAAGTCCACGGTCGCACACCGGCCTGGCATTCGGGGTAATTTTAGGGATTTGGGGGAATTATAGGAATTTTAGGAATAAAGGATTTGAATTGAATTTACTATGATCAAACCTAGATATTTGAACCCCCAAAGTTGACATGTAAATAAAACTCTCTATAATTGAGACAGTTACATTTGGACTCTTCCTGCCCGTCTTCCTTTGCCTTGGCGTCCTTAAACTAATAATTTAAGCGGACCTCCTTAATAGATAACTCAAAACTCCTGCATCTTTGATCAGTGATTTCATTTTTAAATGAAATTTACATTAATGTGAAATATCACGATTAAAGCTATTATTTTTGATTATAAAGTAACAAATTTGTAAAATAAATGATAATACGTGTTTGGTAACAAAACAAACAGTTGCTGATGTTTGATGTTTTATTACAGGGCATAGGAAATAACAGTGCTCGATTTTTGGGTAGTTAATACGTTCTAAAAATATTCATGAAGCAGGATACTTATTATAATGAGGTTCAAAGCGGCAAAGTCAAAGAAATATAATCAGAATAATCCTGAACATGTCAGTTCCAAAACTGCAGTTATTCTAATTTACTTCTGAAGAGTGATATTATCACCCAATAAATTTCCGGGAAGTCTGCTTAATGGCAATCCTTTGCATTTAGGATGATCTATAGACTGTTGTCTCCAGAATACAGCTTTCTGAGGTATTAAATTAAATTATTAAATTAAATTATTAAATTTGACACCAGATCTAAAACTTCAATGAATTAACCTTATATATCATATCTCACTCCTTCTTAAAATGTTCACCTCTACCAATACGACACAGGCTGCGACAGCAAAAATAGCAAACAAACACGTTGATCATGATAATCGAGGCCAGAACCAGACCAATGAAGAGGTAGACATCCAGGAGATTTCTCTGAACGTAAGTGAGATCCATGACTGTTGGTCGTAAATGGTCGCCGCCAAACCTGGTGACGTGCAGGATCCAGCGAGCCACATTGTCTGCCGGTCTCTCTGTGTTCTGAAGGTCACGCATGATCTTCGAGACACGCTGTGCGTTTTTGCTGAATCTGAAAAGAAGTCAAAATCCTGCGATTATTTTGATAAATATCCGCTATTAAAGTGTGACAACAAAATAATAAATGAGGAGTTTATTTAATAGCAAATTATAAGTACCATTTTGGTACCTTTTAGAACTCCACCCTCTCGTGGCTGCCAGAAGTCAGTTTTGACCTTTTTGTCGTCAAACACAAAATGTAAAGGTTACGTATACCCGTTACACTGTTTCATTCCGTAATTGTTTCCTAATTGTTGACAAATTTCCTATATTTCGAATGGATACCAGTGTTTTGAAAATATACCTTCAATCAGAGCATTTGCACTTGTTTTAAGGGCCTCCCTGAAGAACTGCGATACGAGGCACTGGGTCTTGCGACTAATTCTTTTTTAACTTGTGCACGGTCTCATGAAATCCTCATGTGAATGCGTGTAAACCTCATTAAACGCCAAAAATTCGGTACTGTTTTCTACCTCACCTTGTACCAAAGGGCAGGGCAACGATGAATATTCCTGAATCGCACATACCGAAGTACTGAAGTACACTGAAACAGAGCAATGTCTCCACAAGTATGTCAATTTAATGTTTGTAAACTTCCCAACCGGTGTATTTAATTGGTAGGTGCTCTCTCAATTCTTACTCAGGCTCAGTTATGACTCGGTGGATCGCTTGGCTTAAAGTCTCTGATGTGAGGCCACTGATGTCCAACGAGAGACCGGCGCCACGTGCCTCTACGCGGACCATGTTATCCATCATGTCCTCGTAAAGCGGTATGCCCACCAAAGGCACCCCTGCCCATAATGCCTCATTCATGCTGCAGTAGGCACCATGAAAGACGAATGCTCGGACACTAACATGCTCTGTTGAAAAGCAAACGCAAACAACTCTCAATTAACATTTCAATGGATTCCGTTAGTGGGGCTATTCCCTGAAAACATAACGCTGAAACTAACATTTTCTTAACAGTGTGGAAACCCAACTTGACTAAAGGCTTCGTACTTCATACTTGTGGCACTGGGGTTTTTTTTTAAACAGGGAAGTAAAGTCTGGCATTTCAACAGGGTAGGCTTGCACGAGGCGTGAGGACTAGTCTCCCCTCAAAACTGGCAATACAACCATGGACAGAAGTAGGATAAAATGGAAGGTCATCGCATTTCGCTGTATTTTTTATAAACTAAGAAATTACGAAAATGACCGTCCATGACGGACGGACGTCGCTCTGGCCAATGGAAAGATCTCTGTAGACCCCACCGCACAGGTATATTTATCCAATAATTTGGCAAGAGTTGGACCATTTTTCATTGTGCTGAGTCTTTTCAATGCCTGTCCTCTTCACTTTCTGCTATATATGTATAAAACCATAACAATACCTACAATCAGAAGTTTGGTGGATTCCTTGTACTTTTTTACCAGATATTACAATACACACTGATCATTATAAATACCCATGACGTTTATCATCGGCAACCATCTGGCAACCATTGTGTTGTTTCCCAGCTGCAATCCCGTTAAATTTGTGTTTGACTGCCACAGTACACGATGCGGGAGGGAAGCAAAGGCGTCTGCAAAGAGTTGGCCTTGTTCCTGTCCCATCATCCTTACAACAGAACCGAGGGAGAATAGCACCACCCCATCTGGCGCAGTATCCAGGAACTTGGCAACGGCCTCGTCCATCTGAAAAGTTTGGTACAATACAATTATAACTTGTTATGCGCATGCGTGGAAGTGGCGATAGTATAAGTTTTACCGGTTAGGTTAAGGGGCTGGAACCTTGTGTAGATCAATTATTGACTCCGTAGTTGAGATGACTAGTGAAGGGGGTGCAGTTTGTTCCTATTAAACTTGACAACTTGGCCATTCTTTTTGAGCATGTATTAAAATACATAAAAAATAAATCTCTAACCATGGTCAATGGGATATATATCCAGCAAGATAATGAGACAGAGGGTTACCTTACGGCCGTCTCACGTACGCTTCCACAACGCCAAAAAGTTAGCGCGACAAACAAACGTTTCCTCCAGTAGTATTACATATGGCACAGCTGGTCATTTCCCCCTCCCCCTTTCCCCACCCTCCCCTGTATATCTACCCAAGGGAAACAAAATCTAAAGCCAAAATACCGCCTGACCACCAAGGCGCTCAGGCTCGCTCACTCGTTCGCTTTACTTTTTTGACAAGGGGAAAAACCGCCCCTCCACCCCCTAAAATAATTCTTGAGGTGGACGGGCTTGGTCTGGCTCACTACGTTCGCTAGCTTCACTTTGCTAGGGTTCGGTGACAAAGCCCTACCCAACCCCTCTACTCGCTTAGTGCGCTTGGTTCACTGTGGGTTTATTTCACTATATAAATAAATAATATGTAATATTAAAGATCGTTGATTTTTAACGAGATATTAAGCCATGTCAACAACTCAAGAAACCAAACATTGTCAAAAATGCAAAAGAGAAAAAAACCACCCAATAGTTTTAAATTAAAACGTATTAAAAAGTAAAACAGGGGGAGTATATTGTTGTCACAGAGTGATATTAAATAGGAATTACTTTTAAACTAATAACACCGTATAATTTTGTCCCTAATTGTTGAAAAGATAAACGTAGTATTTAGTGGTAAAACAAGATTTTATTTTCCTGAACCGCCACACCCAAACATTTCAGAGGTCATTCAACCTTACCAGAATGATGGGCTGAGTGCCAGTTGAGTTGTTATTGGTAGATGTAGCCACTTATACATTAATTTGAATAATGAATATTTATGAAAGGTAAAGTACACAAAACATTTTGAGATCTTTGGAATAAGGCGTGGCAGTGCTGGAATTTTTCCTTCTGGTTTAAAAAAAAAAGATGTGGGTTGATGTGATCAGTTCATTGCTGGATTCCGAGGAGAAGGCAGCGGCCAGCCTCGATGACTTGTAGTCGTGAGTCGAGTTAGTCTTGAGATGAGTGACTTCTAATTATGGAAATAGAATAAAATACATGTACGTTCAGACTGTTGTGAGAAACGGAAAGCCAGGAAACGCCCAGTTCCTGTAAGTTAGCTATGTATAAATGTGATATATTGAATATTTATTTCATACATTTACTCCTTGCAAAACCAGATCTTGAGCCAGTGAAAATGAGATTTGCCGAGATATCGCATAAAATTCTAATTGATTTAAGTAATTTAAGTTGAGGTTGTTGCAGCACTGAAACAATTATCTTGAAAGTTGACACACTTCATGACTCTTCAAATTTATTAATGAATATTTTCCGTTAAATGTAACTTGGCCAGAAAAACCAGAAATTACCACCATATTCCCATATGGGAATATGGTGGTAATTTTCAGGGTTTTACGTTAAGAGGAAGAGAGAGTCAGTTGACCGTAGGTGACAGAAGGATTGGACCGGGACGCAGAAACTTGCCGAGTCAGCCACAGGCCACAGAAGCCGACTACACCGCAAGAAACAGAAGCAACATGGTGAGGGGACATTGAGGCGCTCCTCACCTCATTTATATTGTAATTAAAAACAATGTTGATGTAAGAAATTATCCTTATTTTGTGTTCTTTTATAAATAAATGTAAATATTGTACAGGCAAAACAAATTTCCAGCAACAGGTGTGTACATATTCGTGTCTCAGCTACCAAAGGTCTGTCCCTAAGGGTAAGACAACTCTAGGGGTGTGACAGCAAAGAAATCAAACACAGTCAAAGATGCAAAAGAGAAAAAACCACTCAATAGTTTTAAATTTAAAGTAAACAGGGGGCGTATGTTGCAATCTCTTTAGAGAAAAACGTTTCATGTGTAATAATTGTAAAAACGGACTTTATAAATATAAATGCCAAGAGTGTCGCCCCGTCTGTCCACATGGAAAGACAAAGCAAAGATGCAACGATTGTCACGAGGTTATGTTTTGTAAACATCCAAAATATAATCACAGTGTTATTGCTGTAGATTTAAAGTGATATTGGCTTAAACAAATGTAACTTTAATAAATATAGTTATAACGATGGCAACCTAAACATTAATTGTGGATAGGAATTATGAATTGCTCAAGAAAAATTGTAAAAACCTAAACATCGAACATAGGCCTTTTGATCCAAAGAACCTCGTTATAGAAGAACCTGTGACAAAAACGAATAGTTTTGTAACGCAATGTTTTCTTCCTTATATTTTCAATACAAAGATATCAAATGCAAACTTTTAATTACGCTATGATGCCCGAAACGATATGTTATGGCATTCAACCAGTTTTTAAATTTGGATCGCACGAAATCAAAGATATAATTAGTCATCAAAGCTGTTCTTATCTGAAAGAAAATATAAATGCCCTTGGCAAAATTATTCATGAAGCATATAAATTTATTGCTATGCAATCGAGAAGAGAAGACTCTATCATTCCAAACAACACATTAAATGCCTATAAAGCAAACATAAAATGATGGGTAGTGTAGAAGGCACATTAATTCATTTGAGGCCGAAATACGGCTTCAAATAATTTATTGTCCCCAAGACAGTGTTAGCATGCGGGGTCCGGAACAAGCCCTCCTTTCTCATGCAAACGTGTGGTCACTGGTTAATTGATACAAGGTCGTACATAATAGTACTTGTTTATCCAAACCATCAAGGGGTGGTCACTCTTGTCTGAGCAGTTGACCCGGACAGTCACAATTTGCTTCGTATCTAACATTTGCAACAATTTGGCCTCGTTCTGGTGGCGGAAGGGCCAACCGACGCTGGTCGGCCGTGGCCACGGCAGTTGCAACGCTGCTCCACCTAGCCAGCCACCTGTCCAGGGAGGTCCACCCAGTGTCCCCGCTCAGGCCAGTGCTCCTGACCCGCCTCCAGCGCAAGGGTTGGGTGAGTCCGCTGCTTCGCACTTTCCTTTAAACGTCTCCCCCACTTCCCCAGGCATGCCCGTTATTTCGATCAGTTGCCCGGTACAAGTTCCTCCCCAGCTGTCACAGCTGTACCTCTGTCACTCCCTCTGGTTACATGTTCGAGTACTGCCAGTAGTAGTATTGCCATGTCGCAAATGAAAGCATGCTAACGAGTGTATGCGAGGATTTGGGCATGGGAGTCCCAAAACTAATCCAAGAAAAATTTGGAATAAGGATTATGTAGAGTTTGGTTCCCTGCTACAGCCGAGTACTAACACCCACGTGAATCAAAATGACTGCCTGTTCATGGACGGGACGCACGAGTCACCGGCCTGGCAGATTCACACGCACAACACTGATCACAACGTGCGCATCACATCGATTGAGAAGTGGACATCGGCCTTTCCGGTATTTTCGTCCATTTATTTGATGCAGCATGCGGGTCGTGCCCGGCAGCTGCTTTAAGTACGCCGACACACTCCGTTCGGCTGCTTTTCGTCGTGGTGGTTTTGGCTGGCGTGATTACGACGTCCAGTTCCGTCTGAGACAAGCCCGCATGTCTGCCCGTTCTTGGGCCAGTATCGATGCAGAATTATGGCTGACATTAGTAGGCTAAACTAATTTTTCGTCACTACTCGTACACTAGGCCTGCGCCACAGCGCATCTACGGGTCCTCCAGCGCCGGGCGCTCAATACTTTAGGCATGTCGATTTGCCTACCAATAATCCACATGCATGTCGCTTGGTCACTCGGCCAACAATTGCCGAGGTACCTCTCGCACCGCAGGGGCTACAGCCAACTCAACAGCCACTGCCACTCTAATTAATATGCTCCCATTTCTTAGCACATATCCCGTCAAACAAGATGCGCACATACTTAGAGATGGGTTTACCTTTAGTTTTCGCTTGGGGCATTGCGGCCCGCGCGTTAGTTCTAATTCACAGAATTTCGTTTGATTCACAATCTTTCTTCTTCCCTCGGCAACTCAGTTAACGATCATATTGACCCATCTCTTACGGCTGTAAGTTACACCAGTTTCGATGATGCAGTTTCTCTGGTTTCTAGGGCTGGTTCCAATGCCCTCATGGCCAAGTCCGATATTAAATCAGCTTTTCGCTTACTACCAGTTCACTCTGACGATTTTGATTTGTTAGGGTTCAGCTTTAAAGGGTCATTTTACTATGATAAATGTATGCCCATGGGCTGTTTATATCTTGTGTAACATTCGAAAGGTTTAGCACTTTACTTGAGTATTGTGTCGCATTTCTTCTTGCATTTTTTGGTTTCATGCAGGTTGGTGAATTAACTGCACCGACGCGTAGTGCAGATGCACCTTTAAGACGTTCCGATGTTTCTCTTCGCCATCTCCCTTCTGGTGATGTATTGAAGACCCACGCCCGTTTTTGTGAGACCGATCAATATGGCAATGGTTGAGTAATTTGCATTCCCAGTGTTTCAGGCGGTGATATTTCCCTGTGCCCTGTTAATGCCGCAACTTAATATTTGCGTGACAGCTCCCAGCACTATACCCGTTTTCTAGCACATTCTGATGGTACGCCGATGACTCCCTCTCAATTTACAGTAGTTTTGAGGCGGTCCCTTAAATTCATTGGCATGTTCGATTCCCATTTCACGTCCCACTCTTTTTGCATTGGTGCAGCCACATGGCTGGCATTCCCGAGCAGGAAATTCAGCGGATGGGTCATTGGCAATCGGGTGTGTATGGGCGTTACATTCGCATAACCCCAGCCCTTGCTCAGTAAGGTCAAAAACAATTAAATAACGAGCTTATACCTCGAGAGGCCTATATCGTCTAAG